TGGCCTCCAAATTCTGGTTTGGAATTCTGCGCCTTTTGCTCTCAAGTGCTCACGTTTCTCGCGATGCAGTCAACGCGCATAGTAAGGACGCGCACCTTCATCTAGGGTACCCTTGTGTCCCTGCCTCTGCGGCCCGTCCTTTGCCGGTTGCACTGGTCGCCCGCCGCCCAAAAAGCTCCAACTTCGGCCTCCAAGGGTCTTGCGTCCTCACCACCCGTCCTTAATACGCGTTTTGACTGTCATCGCACACTGCAGCTGCATGTTGTCACGCCGCTCCCACCGTGTGGCGACTGTTGGATGCTTATTTTCCGCAGGTGCTCGAGCCTCGAACCTCGGCGGCTCGCCGGGGGGGGAGGCCGGAGGGGAAAGGCCTCCTGCAGAAGTCGGCGGGATTCTTCGGAAGCCCTCCCGGGGGAAGGCCGATGGGGGTAGGCCTCCGCAACAGTCGGCGGGGCTCTTCGGGGAAGCCCTCCGGCCCTCGCAGGGAAGCCTCCTTTGGCCTTCGGCGAGGCTCTGGGAAGCTGCTCAGCGAGGGCCTCTCGGGCCCTCTGGGCCTCGTGCGGATCGGGCGGGTGGTGTTGGGTCGGAGGCGGCAAAGAGGGGGGAGATGACTAAGGGGGGGGTGGATCTCATGGGGGGGTGCATGATATTTCCCCAGGTTTCATGGCGCCTCTTCTCATTCCATTGCGTCCCTGGCCCCCCCGCTGGGCCGCGCACACTCCGCTGGTCATGGTTTGCACCCCCCCCCTCTTGGACCCCCCCCTCTTGGCCGCTCCCGACTGGGGGGAGGCCTGACTGGAGAGACAGGGCCACAGAGGCAGGGTCCCTTTGGGGGGCCTTTTCTCGAGCCCGCAGGGGCCCCAGTGGGGCCCTGCACGTCCCCAGGGCGAAAGATGTGTTCTCCTCTCGGGCCCGGAGTGACGCTCTGAGACCTCGGGCAGACGCGTACGAGGGAGCCGCCGTCGGATCCCATGGAGGTCGAGCGGACCCAATCGTGGTGTCGGATGTTGTGTCAGGGGATCCGATTTCCGTCCGCGCGGGTCCGATTTCGGATTTTCTGGATCTGCATCCGGCCTAGTGTTTTTTACAGCGGGTCCGATTTCTACCCCGTTTGAGCTTTAGCTTCTCAGATTTAAACCGGGGGCCAGACGAAATCGGATCCGCGGACCCTGGGACCCGCCCGTGTTAAGATTTTACGGGGGAGGGGGGTTCGGTCATCAATGTCCCAGGGCCCTGTGCTGGCTGTCTCGTGCGCTCCCCTCAGCTTTCCGCGCGCGGGGGCCCCGCTCAGCACGAATGCATCCCTCTCCTCCGGGACGGACTGCACGCAGCTCGTCCAGGCGCCATCCGTTCGGCGGCGCCGGTGCTATCTGTCGAACTCATCATCGCCGTTCTCACATCAAGAGGGAACACTTTCGTCCTGCGTGCTCAAGCAAAGGGCTCCCTTCGGGCCCTTTGCGTCGCCCCCCCCAGAGGAGGCCCGCGCCCCCAGGATCCCCTTCGGGGGTCACCCGTTCAAGTTGGAACGGTGCAGAGAAAATTCGCATGGCCCCTGCGCAGGGACGACGCACACACACCGAGAAGTGCACACCAAAAGAGGAGGCCCGCGCGCCCCCTCCCGCCCTCCCCGCCCCCCCCGAACTCATCGTCGAACTCATCGCCGCCACTCTCACATCAAGAGGAACACCTCTCGTCCTGCGTCTGATTCGGGAAAGGGCCCGCTGCTTCGCCCCCCAGAGGAGGCCCGCGCCCCCTCCCGCCCTCCCCCCCCCTGTGGCGCGCCGCCGTCGGCCACGCGTGGCCCCACTGGGCCGGCCCTGGGCCTCCGGGCGCGCCGGCGATATATGGCCCGTGCTCGGCCGGCGGCCTCCGCGCCCCCAAGCGGCGCGGGGCCGCGCTTTTCCTGCCGGGCGCCCCGCGCGGGCGCCGTGCTGCCGAGGGGCGCACGCACGGGCTGGGGCCGAACGAGAGGGGTACGGGGAGAAGGCGTACGATGCCCAACAGCAGTCCCTGTTCATGTTGAGCAGGACTCGCTGTCGGTGTCGCCGCGGCCTGCGTCCATTTGAGACAGGAGGCCGCCTGCCCAACAGCGGCCGCTGTTGGTTTGGGGCGACATGTGTTGTTGGGCATTGTACCCATTCTTGTCGTACCCATTTCGGGCGTCCAAACAGGCTGGGTGGAGGTGGCGCCACCCCGTGCACTGCTGCGCGGCCACGCGCAGAGGGGGGTGCATCGGAGGGGGGAGGTGCGACACCAGCACCACCCGGGGGGCCCACCTGCAGCGAGGAGGTCCACGGTGCCTCTCCGAGCTGGAGGCCGGGGATGTCTCGAGCGAGAGAGGGGGGGACCACACCACCAGGGAGACCCCCCCTTTGCTCCTCGCACCTCCTCGCCCTGCTGGTGTTGGTGTCGCCGTTCCTTGTTCCTAGGGTGGGGGGGGAGGGGGGGAGGCTGTCGGGGGCAGCGATAGGCACGCGGGGGAGGGGCTTCGAGGTGGGAGGTTCTGGGAAGGTGCCGGCGCCACGCCGGCCAGCAGCCGCCTCCGTGCTGCCGGCCGGCGTGGCGTCGGGTCACGCCGCCCGCCCGCGCGGCGACCAGGGCTCGAGCCCGCCGCAGGGGCCCTCAGGGGCAACGGAGGGGGGGGGATAGGCCACGCGCAGAGGGGGGAAGGGGGGGGCGGGGGGGAGGCTTTCATATGGGGGGGGGTCGAGGTGTGAGGTTTTGGGAAGGTTGGCGCGTCACCGGCCTCGGGGGGCTCTCCGGCAGCTGCGCCTCGCTGAGAGCGTTCCGGGGGGTGCCTGGATTGTCCCGAACGGCCGCCCGAGAGCCGAGTTCTGGCCCAGACACCATAGTGGGCAGCGCTCGTGGGGGCAGCGTTCGTTAGGGGGGGGCTCTTACAGTGCGGGCGCGCATCAAGGAACCGATTGCTGTTCGTCAGGGTGCCCTGGGGTGCTTCGCTCCGCGCGCTGCGCGGTGACCTCCCGCGGCCGTGCGAGAAGCTGGTGCGTGCAGGGTGCTCGGGGTGCCCTCCCGTGTGCATCCTGCGCGCGGGTTTTCGGGGCTGGGGTTCTGGCGAGGGTTCCTTGCGGCCGCGTCCGCACTGCAGAAGCACCCCTGCTTCTTGGAAGGCGCGGGCCTGATATGTAGATGGAGGGCCAGCGCCTTCTTAGGAGCAGCCTCCTATGCAGCCTCTCCCCCCCCCCGCACCCCCTCGCGCGCGCCACCAAGTTTCTATTCCTCACAGGTGGGGTCTGGGCAGACGCGGTCAGAGGATCTCGCCGCATTGCCGATGCATCGCTCACAGGGCTCGATGTGGAGCCCAATTTTCTCCACGTCGATGCGACGCCGGCGTCGCCGATGCACCATGCATCGCCGATGCATCGGCGATGCGGCACGACCCTCCGACGCCACCGACTCGGATCCCATCTGGGAGGCCTCTACGGCTCCTTTTACCGCGCGCACGAGACGATGCGAAAGCGGATATTGCGCTCTCCTGTAAGAGTCGGCGGCGCGCCCAGGCGGGGATGGCAGAGGGGACCGGGCTTCTCAGGAGGCTCAGAAGGCCAGCGGCTTTCCGAGAAGCTTTCTAAACCATCTCCGATGCCCCACCGCCTGCTGAGAAGGCCTGCCCCCTCTCACTTACCCGCTCCGCGCGCCGCCCGATTTCCGGACGCATGAAGCTCTGCGAAAGCAGACATTACGCCCTCCGGTAAAAATGAGATTCAGAGGCTACCTGGGCATGCGTGGGCCTCAGGGGAGCTCCATGCGGCAGCCTGAAGGTTCCAGATCTTCCCAGAAGCTCCCAGAAAAGGGTCCACGAGCATCACCGAAGGGAGTTCCGAAGGATGGCGCTACGACGCAGAGGGCTCCGGTGCGCACGCCACCATGCCCAGCCAGGGCCACGTCTGAGTGTCTCTAGATGGTGCGCAGGCCCCCCTGGCCTCGGCCAGAAGGGCGTGCGCACGATGCCAGGGCCCAGGATGGCCATGGCCATGGCCTGGGATGGCGGTGGCGCGTGCATAGAGTCGAAACCGATGATAGGGATGGGTGGCCTTCGCAAGGGCGCCCTTGAAGCCTTGCCTCTTCGGCCCATCCCCTGACCACCCTCGGTAGCCAGCCCCGCTGGAAACGCCTCGGCATGGGCGTCCAAGGCCCTCGCACCCCTACCGCGCATCCCTGCTACGGTGGGGGCGTTGGTTCAGGAATGTGCCCACGAGGCTTCAGACCCTGGGGGCTCCCTTATCTAAGCAGGGCGGCGGTGATATCCATGGCCAATCCACGGTCGAGGCTCCACTGGCTTCGAGACCCTGGATTCTTTATCCATTGACTCCTTATCCGATGCCGCCACCATAGCAGTCTTGACTGCAGCTGCCTTCGCGGCGGGGTCCTGGGCCCGATGGGCTCGGCGCAGCGGCGCAGCCCCGGCCGGCAGCCGCGCCCGCCGCGCTGCCAGCCGACGTGGCATCGGGTCACGCCGCCCGCCCGCGTGGCCACGGGGCTCGATCGGGTATAGCCAGGACAGGACCCCGGGCAAGGGGGCCCGGTTAGTAGGGCCCCTGGGCCCCTAATCTGGCCAGAATCACTAAACCAGGTCTGCCGTAGCCGGTGTTCTTTCAGCTCTGGTTGGTGAAATGGGGCGGGGGGGGCGTCCCCCGGTACACATCTTTAAACCGGGTCCCACTAAACCCAGTTCTGCCAACGCCCGACTCGAGCCCGCCGCAGGGACCCTCGGGGGCAACAGAGGCCCCGGCCAGCAGCCGCCTCCGTGCTGCCGGCCGGCCGCCCGCGTGGCGACCGGGGCTCGAGCCCGCCGCAGGGGCCCTCAGGGGCAACGGAGGGGGGGGATAGGCCACGCGCAGAGGGGGGAAGGGGGGGGCGGGGGGGAGGCTTTCAGGTGCATCGATAGGCATATGGGGGGGGGGTTCGAGGTGGGAGGTTTTGGGTAGGTGTCGTCGGTTCCTGGCGGTCCTCTGGCCTCGGGGGGCTCTCCAGCAGCTGCG